GTATATTGTGTTTTTAGCCAGGTGCTGTTGGGAAGGGGGGACCCGTCTCCTTCCCCCTTTGGTGGGGGTGTCGGGGGGACACTGGGGTCTCGTCCCCATGGGAGGAAGGACAGCAGGACCCTCATCCACGGGTGGCTTCGAGGTTTTATGGGGGGAATTTGTCACAGCAAAGGTGATGGGGACAGACCCTGGGCAGGGGGGAGCTCGGGAAGCCGGGCTGAATACGGAGGAAACGAGGAGCCTCATTAATTAGTGACGATCAGGAAACAATTTGATCAACGTGGCCCATCAAATGGGATTCGTAGTAATTTGTCTGGTAATTAGCCAGCATCCCTATTGACTTAGAGCTAACGGCATCAGCGAGGAGTTACTTGTTTGCCTTTCTCCAGGTTGTGAATTGGTTTGGAGGTGAGATGGAGGGAGCAGGGAGCGAGGGCCGGCCAGCAGTGGTGTTTCCTGCTGCTCCGGGAGCTCTAAATGAGATTGAGGGATTAGGATGCAGTTAATGACTTCTCAATCCCGTATTTCATCCGCGCCTCCAACGTATTGCAGGCATTTAGGATATCGGGAATCCAGCGCCAAAGCGGCAAATAAACTCCGGAGGAGAGCAGTGGATGGGGTCTTGGGATGTGGTCGAGCTCCTTTGTGCCATCACCTGGCCCAGGGACCACCTTCTTTTGAAAATTGAGATGATTTGCTGTTTGGAGACGTTCTTGAGGGCTCCCAAAGAGCAGGCTCCGCTGGTCAGAACCAGCCCCTCTTGCTGGCATTGAACTTTAACGCAGATATCAAGTCGTGCCGTAGGTTTCAGATCCTCCTTTTGTGTCAGATGTACGTCTCTGTGGCTATATAATAACTTTTTCTCTTAATGAGTACTGGAAATTCTTAATTTCTAATGCTCCGTTCCTCAAAGGACTTGGCACATCTGAGGCAGATCCATGAAAAATTCTCTCTGATGAGGTCTGGGGTGCAGACAGCAGCCTGGTGCTGGCTCCATGATCCATTCAGGTCTTTCTGTTGTAGAAGATGCTCAGCCCCACAGCTGTCCCAGGTGGGAACACACTTCCTTCTGGGGCTGAGCTCCCCAGACATTGCTGAAAGGACTTGGCACATTTGAGGCAGATCCATAAGGAATTCTCTCTGGTGAGGTCCGGGGTGCAGACAGCAGCCTGGTGCTGGTTCCCCAACCCCTTCAGGTCTTGCTGTTGTGGAAGATGCTCAGCCCCACAGCTCTGCCAGGTGGGAACACGCTTCCTTCTGGGGCTCAGCTCCCCAGACCCCCCCACAGCAGCCCTTGGTGAGGCTCACATGGAAAAGCAAATTCAAATTACTGCAGCAGGTCGAGCTACAACCCCATAAATCCTCACCCTCAGCCTTTTGGCTTTGTCCTCTGTTCCAAAGGCTACAGGAATGGGGCTTGTGGGTCTCATATTCCAGAAAAAAAAAAAAAAAGGAGGTAGGACTCAGCAGGGAAACTTTTCTGAGCTTTAATGGCAGCGGAGAGCGAGTTCCCCAGATCTTGAACATAGTTGCGGGCTCGCTGTTTCTTGGGAAATGGAAGCTGCAGATGTTTGATGACTCTCGGGATTTGCTCCACATTAATCACTGCTGGAGTTGCGCAGCTATTTTTCTGAATTTTGCAATATTACACAACTAGACCTCTTTTTTTTTAATTTTTTTTTTTTTCTCTCTGAACCTGAACGTTCATCCCGCATTTAACACTGCAGCCGATTCTGAAATCACATTTTCTGCTCTCGGCAATAACCTACAGGGAATGTGGAAGGGAGGAGGGGAGAAGAGAAGATACTGGTGTGATACTCTGTAATTTGCAAGGGTTAATGAGGACAAGGTCCTTAAAAGGGAGACCTGGGGTACGGGGTACCCCGTGTCCGTGAGCAGCGGGGCCCCCCAGGCAGTTCATGGTTTTGAGATGTTGAGGGACACCATCGAGTGTATATTTTTAGTCGCGTTCCTTGGAATATTTGGTAGAGCAGGCAATGTGTTTATAGTCAGCTTCCTGTGTCCGTATCAGCGTCTTGGCATGTGATGGAATTAGTTAAAAAAAAAAAAAAAAAAAAAAAGGGAAGGACTGAAGAGCGTTGTAAGGATTATTTGTACTGCGGGATGAGGGCTCTGGGGTGCTGTGGGTCCTGAGCCCCGTGGGCTCCCCCAGGACTCATGCATCACCTTGGGGTCGTCTCCTTCTTCTTTAAGCAGGAGGAACCAAGAAATGCCAATCTCTGTGTCCTGGTGGGGTGGGATCAGCCCGGTTCCTGGCACAGGCTGGTGCTCTGTTGGATCAACCCTTCGCTGTTCATAACCTCTCCTTGTGCAGAGGCGGTTGGAGCACACAGGAGGGGGATATTTTGACTGATTTTGTCTCTAAATAATAGTTGTCTTTGTGCAATGATAATTATCTTTGCCCCAAAGCCGCCCCCCCCCAGCAAGATGCTGATATTCGGAATAACTTCTTTCCCTTGCTGGGGCAATTAAAAAGCTGTCACTAAACACACATGGGAGGGGTGTGTTATTCATGGGGGGGTGTAGGATTAACCGTGGGGAAGAGAAAAAAGTTTTCTGGTGCTTTAAGCTGAGGAGAGTGAAGAAAAAGAAAAAAACAAACCCAGTCCCTCCCAGTTTCTGCAGTGATAAGATGATGTCCTGATAAGGTGATGCTGGGACCCAGGTGCCCAGGGGAAGGTGTGTGACGTGCTCCTGGATGTCATTAGAAAGGGAACTCTGGGGTGCTGTGGGTCCTGAGCCCCGTGGGCTCCCCCAGGACTCATGCATCACCTTGGGGTCGTCTCCTTCTTCTTTAAGCAGGAGGAACCAAGAAATGCCAATCTCTGTGTCCTGGTGGGGTGGGATCAGCCCAGTTCCTGGCACAGGCTGGTGCTCTGTTGGATCAACCCTTCGCTGTTCATAACCTCTCCTTGTGCAGAGGCGGTTGGAGCACACGGGAGGGGGAGATTGTGACTGATTTTGGTCTCTAAATAATAGTTAACTTTGTGCAATGATGGTTATCTTTGCCCCAAAGCCCCCCCCCAGCGAGATGCTGATATTCGGAATAACTTCTTTCCCTTGCTGGGGCAATTAAAAAGCTATCACTAAACACACATGGGAGGGGTGTGTTATTCATGGGGGGGTGTAGGATTAACCGTGGGGAAGAGAAAAAAGTTTTCTGGTGCTTTAAGCTGAGGAGAGTGAAGAAAAAGAAAAAAACAAACCCAGTCCCTCCCAGTTTCTGCAGTGATAAGATGATGTCCTGATAAGGTGATGCTGGGACCCAGGTGCCCAGGGGAAGGTGTGTGACGTGCTCCTGGATGTCATTAGAAAGGGAGAATACGGGTTGAGAACCAGGAAGGAGAGGGCTTATTCAGCAAAAGCAGGCCTTCTAATTGCTTATAAACGTAAGCTTGAACTTAAAATTGATTACAATGTAGGAAGTTTGTCTCCGGAAAGGCCTTTCCTGAGCTGTCTGTCCCGAATTGGAGATGTTTGGGTTTCTGTCCTCTGTTGTTAGGTCTTTGGGCTTAAATTTTCTCAGTCTGCGGTCCCCAGAGACTTGATGTATCTGTGTGTGCCTTTTCAGTTAATGAAACAAAAAATCCTCGCTTTGCCGTGTCATTAATCGTCTTGATGAACAACCAGAGTATTTCCAGAGGAAAGTTTCCTTTCCATTTTTAAAAATAAAATCACACAGATACCAAAGACATTTATGCTGGTTTTTCTGTGCTGCCATAGGGGAAGCACAAGAAATTCTGTCCCAGGGCGGTTCATCACGGTTTGTGTTAGGAAATCAAAGTTTCTTGTGAAGAATCTTGTGCCGTGGCATGGTGCAGCTTTCTGTGTGTCTTCAAAATCTTCTTCTCCCTTGTAGAACCCATAGTTGTCTTTATTAAATGCCACCAGCACAACTGGGGAGAAGTTTTCCTCTCTGGAAAGCTACACTGTTGTAGGAAATCCTGGAGGGGAACATAGACCAACCTGAAATTTGAATTTTCAATTTGTAGCAGCTCTGCAGGACCCCAAGAGGCTTTTGCTTCTGCATCGAAATAATTCCCAAAGCATCTCCAGGAAAAGGGTCCGTCTGTGCTGCAGAGGGAGAAGTGAAGTGCAACAAAAAAGTCTCAGAAATTGCAGATTAAACTGAAAGAGCTTTTTATTTTCGTTAATGAAAAGCCATCATCTTTCAGCCAAGCTCTTGTTTTCCTGCATCATCTTGCTCTTGCACGACGTGGTACCAGAGGTGGTGTGTTCTCCCATGGCTTGGTTTTGCAGCTGTCTGGGGTGGGGGGGTGTTAAACCACCATGGTCACTGCCCTAAAAATGTCAAAGTTGGGGCTGTTAGCAGTAAGACACTCTGGTTTGTTGGTTGTTGCTGCGGATAAGATTGAGCAGATCCCCGGATACGTTTTTCAGCTGTGTTTTTAGATTCAAGCCAAAAAAAACAAGGAAAAAAAGCCAGTTTTTTTGGGATAAGCAAAGAGCATCACTGATGTTTTGGGGAGACAGACCACCTCCTTCCCAGCCAAATCTGCTGTAAAAATCCCAAGGGATTTGCCCTGCAAAGCCGGGATGCTCCATCCAGTTCCAGGACCAGAGGCTCCAGGACCCGTTTTGCAGCGATATTTCCTCATTTTTCTCTCCCACGTGCCCTTCCCTGATTTATTCCTTCCCGAGGATGCCCTGACCTCTGAACGCTGACGTCCAAAAAGAGCATTTCAGAGCGGGGGTGGGGGGGCATTACGCTGGCCTTAAACTATGCTAATAATGTTGGGTTTGTGGGTTTTTCTGGCTAATTTGATAGGAGCTTTGATTAGGCAGGAATATCAAGTCTTTATAGCTCTGGGGTGGAGGGCGGCCCCTGTGAGCCCTGCTTATTTTTCACTTGCATTTCAAGATTGTTTTGATCTCCGTCAGGAAGCACAAGTCAAGAGATTAAATTTTTTTTTTTTTTCTTACTTTTCCTTAACGATTTCCAGGGGCTGTGACTGGAGAACTTGCAGAGATAAGCAAAGCAGAAGCTTTTCCATTAAAACTCGCATTTGTCCCAGCTGCCACACGTATGTAACGGGGGGTGACGCGCTGCATTTATTTTTATTTCCTTGCCCTATGTGAAAAGCCCAAGCTTGGCACTGGGACAAGGGCTGGCAGCGAGGTGACAGTCTCTTAAAATTCAATTTATTTTCCTACTCCGTATGAGGGTTTTAACAGCAGCAATTAAAGTTTTGACGCTGTTCCGACACGGGAAGGGGCGTGTGATTTATGAAGGGGACACTGCCCGTGCTGCAGGCATCTCTCTGCCCTGATAAGGACTATCCCTTGGGAATTTTCTGGGCTGGTTTTTCCCCTTGTTTCCTGGGAAATGGGGGGCTGAGCGATCTCAGAGCTAATTGGGTGATTGGGCCGGTGACCGAGGCTCCGTGCCAGATCTCCGACGGCCCGTTGGCAAACGATGGGGGTTTTTCCTTCCAAAAAGCATCGGTGGCAATTCCGGCTCCCGCCGTGCCCTGCTTAATGAGTTAGTTGTGCCCCGGCTGCTTTCCCAGTTTAGGAAATGCCCAGTGCCTATAATCCATGTTTTGCACCTTATTTGACAGTGGGTGTCTCTCCAGGGATACACGAGTATATAAAGCCTGGAGAAGAGGAGGCTGAGGGGAGACCTTATTGCTCTCTACAACTCCCTGAAAGGAGGGGGTAGAGAGGTGGGGGTCGGTCTCTTCTCTCAAGTCACAGGCGACAGGACAAGAGGAAATGGCCTCAAGTTGCCCCAGGGGAGGTTCAGGCTGGATATTAGGAAACATTTTTTCACTGAAAGGGTTCTCAGCCATTGGAATGGGCTGCCCAGGGAGGTGGTTGAGGCACCATCCCTGGAGGTGTTCAAAAGACGGGTTGATGTAGTGCTGGGAGGTATGGTTTAGTGATGATGCTCCTTGTTTGTTGTGTGGGTGTCTGTTTTTGTCAGTTAGGTTGACAGTTGGACAAGATGATCTTTAAGGTCCCTTCCAACCTAGAAGATTCTGTGATTCTGTTATAAATGACAGGAAAGGTTAAAGCAGCAATTAGCACTCGATGTGTAATTATCAGTTGCTGGTTTAGAACTTTACGTGTGTTTTTGCACACCCGTGTGTGTGTCACTGAACGTGCTCGCCCTTGGGCTTCATGCAGCAGCAAAGCAATGTGAATAAAAAGAAAGACAACTTTATTTGTAATAAATTCATTTATTATATTTATTTATTTATAAATCCCCCCTTTAACTATCACAGAGGGCAGGTAACCTTAGGGGTTTTATCGCCTCTTTTACCCATAGCATCAAGGCAGCCTGTTTGGTTTGTGTCTGTGTTATACATGGTTTTAAACAAATAAACCCTTGTGTTCTTGGGGCTCTGGTTTCTGTTCTTCCCGGTGCTGAGCTGTGCATATCGGGCACCCACTATAATTCAAAACTCTTAGAAAATCCCTGCCCTCTTTCAATTGTCATCGTGGTGTAGTTTGCATTTAAAATTCGTGTTTAACAAGTTTGAGGAGGGTGTTGAATATAGTGGGGTGTGGATTTACCAGCCTTGCAACAGTGAGAGCAGTCTCTGGCGCGGGACCTTGGATTGGTTTAGGATTGATCGAATTCCAGGATTTTTTTTGGGGTGTGTATAGGCTTCTGTAGGCATCATGGGTGCTCGGATTGGTTTCTCCCGTGGTTTAAGCACAGCTGCTAGAATATATCCAGGCAGAGTGCCCACACCGGCTGCGCGGGCGCTTGGTGTAAACCTGCTCAGGGCTTTACCCCGAGTGGTTTGACTCGTTTTAAAGCCAGGAGCTTTTCTGCCAACCACCTCTAAACCTCATCTGGCTGGGACCTCTGCCTCGGGAGCATGGGCTGCAGGAGGAGCTGGAGTGGCAAAAAGGCTCCAAATAGTTGTTGGCTTCATTCAAATGTTGTGCACTTTCTTCTGGGAGGTGGCCAGAGGGAATTGTCTGCCCGTGGCCATGTCCTCAGGGAGGGAAATAGGGAAACTGGCTGTAAGAAAGGCTTGGGGTAGACTTTTCAGTGAGGCAAATCTGAAAATATTGTAGTCTTTGTGATTAGAATTAAACCACGAGTGCTAACCCTTCTTAGCTCTGCCTTTCTTGGTCTACGAAGTACTTAAAAATTTTTATTTTACTCTGTTTCAGGATCATTACACCGATAAAAATCAAAGGCAGCTGGACGGGGAGCAAGACGGCCTATGTAGGTGAGTTTCCAGCACATGCTTGTTCCTTTCTTTCATGCAAAATCTAAAGCAGAAAGACAGGTCCCAAGCCCCAGTGATTTAAATTTTATCCTGGAGTGGAACAAATACAAAATACTCGGCAGCTTTTTGGAGGAGAGGCTGCAGGGACAACACGGGCTGTGCTCTCCATGACATTACCAGCAGTGGTTCCTGACATTCATTCCCCTCCTTTTTTGCTACCAGGGAATACTGGGAGCAGAAATGCTGTTTGGAGTGGGCTGCCTCTCCCACAGAAATTAGGCTTTTCCTTGTTTACTTCACCAGTTAGCAAGGGGCAGTGTGGGAGTCTTCATCATTTCTCTGTTTGTTTGTGTGTTTTGTTTGACTATCTCAGAATGCAAATCCCTCTTCCTGTATTGCCCCCTTCCTTACAACAGGTACTTTGATAAATTCCTGTAACTGAGAAGCTCGTGCAATGCTTTGCACCCTGTTGGTGACTCTGAGCTCCAAACCACGGAGGTTTTATTTTCCTCAGAGCATCTCCCACCAACGTCCTCGCCTTTATCTCTCTTTCAGGCTAAAGAATTTGCTGAAGGTCACGTAACCTGAGGCCAAGCTGGATCTTGTGACTCCCAGGCTGGTGCTTTGATCCGGGACCCCTCCTGCTGTACATGCTGTAAGACAAACCCATTTTGATACAACTAAATATCTCTTTGCAGTTTTGTGTATGTTCTTTTCCTGGTGTGACTTATCTGGGGGGAAAAGAGGTCCCTTCTGTGGGGAAACGGCCCCGCAGTTCGTTAGGGACAGGTCGACTTCACTAATGACTAGAGATTTTTTCAAAGTAACCTTGATCTAGAAGTCTGTTTTCATGGCTTTTGTTTGTACTAAAGATATAAAAAGTTAGAAAAAAATGCAGAGGAAAATAAAAGTGGGGTTTTTTTCCCCACTCACTAGTTTTTTCCCAACCAGTAAATGGAGTTTGGCAGAATCACATGGACAGAGCCTGACTTTGAAAATCAAACGTAGCTGTAGCTGGGTTTTGATCAGCAGGATGGTGCTGGGATAGCTTGTGAAACGGAGCTGAGGAAGGAACACAGCCTTAATTAAACACCCACAACACTAAATCCAGCTGAAGATCTCGGGAGTTGCCTGTTTTCTTTTATTTCCCGTTATTTGGCATTTTTATACATTTTGGAAAGACTAATTGAGACACTGGCGGCGTTGTTTATAATTTGGAAGAAAAAAATCTCGACTGCAAAATCTCTAAATGCTCTGGAGTGTAAACTCTCTGGAGAAGCAAACGTCAGGAAGTGCTGTTCTGTGCTTCCAGCAGTTTTTGTTCTCCCTGCGCGCTGACGGGCCGCTCGCCTCTGGGGTCTATCTGCGTGGCCAGAGTTCCCCTCGTTAACCGAGCCCTAATTACTGCCCTTCCTCCGAGAGATACAGATGGAAGGAGAGTTGGTTTGTTGTACTGTGTCTTTCGTGTCATAAAAATGGGTTTGAAATCTGCAGTAATTACGTACGGCACCTCCGAGGGGTTAAAACCCCCTCTCTGTGCTTGCTTAACGTGTGAGATCTGTATTCCAGCAGAATATAGAAAAAATCCAAGTGGCTTTTCGTGCAAAACCAGAAGCTTCTCTGCCCAGAAAAACAGGGGTTGGGTCCTGCAGGGTGCCTGAGTTTCCTGATCCCTTTGGCGATGGGGCTGGGCAGGGTCTGCATCCCAAAACATCCACCTCCTTCACCAGAAACTCACGTGTCCAAGTGGTGCAGCTGCTGGTGCTTCACCTTTTCTCTGTGCCTGGAAATAGTGTGGTCCTTGAACGCACCAAGGAGTTGGGTTGGTTTGGGTGAGGGAATCTTGTTTATTTTTACCAAACCCAAACATTTCTAGGGTGTACAAAATACTTGTGCGGTGATTGTAAATCTTGATAACTGTCTAAAAATCAAGTCCTCCTCACCTGCTGGGAACCTGGTGAGAGCAACTGGTGCAGGCACCACAGCCCTGCTGCTGAACGCTATCCAGGGGGATCAAAGGAGTCGGGGGGCCACCCACAGCTCCCACGACACCTCCAGAGCCGGGGGGCAACTTGTGGGTGACCACGGCCACTGTTTTCCCTGGGAAATTTGCATCGCAGGTACCGCGAAGTCCATGCGTGTCTGGGAGTCCTGGTGGGCTCTGGCGTTTTTGTGTTCAAAAGACAGGTTGATGTAGTGCTGGGAGGTAGGGTTTAGTGATGGGGATGCTTCTTGTTTGTTGCGCGGGTGTCTGTTTGTGTCAAAGTTAGGTTGATGGTTGGACAAGGTGATTTTTAAGGTCCCTTCCAACCTAGAAGATTGATTCTGTGATTCTGTTATCGCACCACCTCGCCTCTCCTTTCCTCGGGTGTGGTTTAAGGAGCACAAAGAGAGAAATCACAGAATCTTCTAGGTTGGATGGGACCTCAAAGATCATCTTGTCCAACCGTCAACCTCACTGACAAAAATAGACACCAGCACAACAAACAAGGAGCATCCCCATCACTAAACCATACCTCCCAGCACTATATCAACCCGTCTTTTGAACACCTCCAGGGATGGTGCCTCAACCACCTCCCTGGGCAGCCCATTCCAATGGCTGAGAACCCTTTCAGTGAAAAATTTTTTCCTAATATCCAGCCTGAACCTCCCCTGGTGTAACTTGAGGCCATTTCCTCTTGTCCTGTCGCCTGTGACTTGAGAGAAGAGACCGACCCCCACCTCTCTACCCCCTCCTTTCAGGGAGTTGTAGAGAGCAATAAGGTCTCCCCTCAGCCTCCTCTTCTCCAGGCTGAACACCCCCAGCTCCTTCAGCCTCTCCTCATAAGACTTGTGCTCCAGACCTCTCACCATCTTTGTTGCCCATAAATGCGCCTCTAATCCCTATTTCATTTTACTACTCCATTCTTTTTTCTTCTGGAGGGCAGGGCTGTGATGTTTTCCTGCTAACTGGGTATTATTTTCCATCCTATTTATTCACCTAGCAGAAGGGAAGGACTTGAGCAGCGACGTTTCCCTCCACCAGGCATCTCGCTGTGGTTTCCACTGGGTGTCAGCACGGCCCCGCGCTGGGACCAGGTCGGCAGGAGCCCTGCTGGCCACCCTGGGCTTTCCTGCTGGAAAAACCAGGTTGGGTGAATAACCAGAGCCAGGTTATTACATCCAGAGGTGCTGCTTTGCCTGCGCAGGCGCCAGGGGGGCTGTTTGGGCTGGAGGTAGTTTCCTTCCCCGAGCAGAGCAACTGGTCGGAGCGGGAGGAGCGCGGAGCGTGGCCTCCTCGTTCCAGCGCTCTCTAATTAGGGTTACACCTGGGACAGCGGGTCCCCGCTTCTAGCAGATGGGCGTGGATGACATTTGGAGGATTTCCTTTGAAGGTGTGGGTGTGATGGAGTGCTCCCGGAGAGGGAGCACACAGGAATTGGCACAGACCCGGGCTGTGTCCTGCAGATGTGACAGATCAGGGCTGTTCTTCCTCCACAACGACCCTGCCATTTTTATTTTCCACACTCCCTACCTTTCTGCTTAAAAATCCCTGGGACCTGCTGCCTGTCCTGCCAACCCGGGCACCTCCTTCATGCCCCTCGACTCTCTGTAGTCAATGTTTGGGGGAGAAGCAGCACTCCCAAGGGCAATTTGCTGGTGGATGAGAAGCTCCACAGGAGCCAGCAACGTGGGCTGGCAGCCCAGAAACCCCCCACCCTGGGCTGCATCCCCAGCAGCGTGGCCAGCAGGGCCGGGGAGGGTATTCTGACCCTCTGCTCTGCTCTGAGGAGACACCCCCAAGGGTATTTCATTGAATTTCATTGAATTTCATTGAATTTCTAGAGTTGGAAGGGACCATAGAGATCATCTAGTCCAACTCCCCTGCTGAAGCAGGATTGCCTAGAGCTAGAGCATGTTACTCAGGACTACATCCAGGCGGGTTTTGAAAATCTCCAAAGAAGGGGACTCCACAACCTCCCTGGGCAGCCTGTTCCAGGGTTCCGTCACCCTCACCGTGAAGAAGTTTCTCCTCATATTTGAGTGGAACCTCTTATGTTCCAACTTGTGCCCGTTGCCCCTCGTCCTCTCGGTGGGAACCACTGAAAAGAGTCTGGCTCCCTCCTCCTTCAACCCTCCCTTGAGATACTTGTAGGCGTTGATAAGGTCTCCCCTCAGCCTTCTCTTCTCCAGACTAAAGAGTCCCCCGAGAAGCTGTGGCTGCCCCATCCCTGGAGGGGTTCAAGGGCAGGTTGGAGGGGGCTTGGAGCAACGTGGTGTGGTGGGAGGTGTCCCTGCCCAGGGCAAGGGGTGGCACTGGGGGGGCTTTGAGGTCCCTTCCCACCCAAACCATGCTGTGATTCTGTGACTTTGGGTTTCAGGTGGGCAGAGACATCCCCTGGAGGCCCCTTGCTGCCATCAGGGACCTGTCCTTCTCCCACCCTCCCTGTGGGTCACCTCCACAAAAAGCCTGTCCTCAGTCCCGTTGCATGGTGAAGATAAGATGCTGCTGGATAAGGGGCCTGGGGATCCCCTCCTGCCCCGTGCAGGAGGCCAGGAGCAGCTGGAGCCCCACGCTGGGATGCTCAACCTCAGCCATGGGAGCTGGCAACCCCTTGGGTGGTGGGAAGGCAGAGCTGCATGCCAGGGCCTGCAGGGTCCTGGGGGTAACGCGTGGGAGCTCGCTGGGATGCTGAACACTCGCAGCAAACACCGTCCCCCCCCCCCAGGCCTGCTCCAGCACGGAGAGCAGAGAGGTTTGGCTGAAGGTAGTGCAGGCGCTTGAGATTCCTCCAAAAGTTTCTTCCCTCGGGGACCTAAACATTAAAATATCAAGGCCATGAAGTGTCACAGTGACAGACTTTTTGGCGCTGGCGTGCAGCCGTGGTTCTGTGCACTGACCTACCTGGTGATGATGAAAAGCTGGACACGAGCCGGTGTTCAAGGGCAGGTTGGAGGGGGCTTGGAGCAACCTGGGCTGGTGGGAGGTGTCCCTGCCCAGGGCAGGGGGTGGCACTGGGGAGGCTTTAAGGTCCCTTCCCACCCAAACCATTCTGTGATCTCTGAAATCAGCAATTTTGCTTCTGAAAACGCAGAGAGTAGATTTGTTGGGCAGGAAGGTGGCATTTTTATCGTTTCTTTTGCTCTGTAAAGCTCCTCACTCCTCCTGAGGCTGAGCCATGCCGTTGCCCAGGGCACATGATGCCATCTGGGGCTCAATGCCTGGTCCTCAGTGGGGTGACCCCCTCCTCTGCCCTGTGCAAAGGCTCTGTCCCCACTCCTGATGGTGAGCAGCACCTCCCCTCCCACCTCGGTGCAGATCTAGCAGAGCTCCCAAGGAGCCACCTCCCTGCACCAGGCAGCCTGACATCAGTCTGCTTCAGGGTGAACAGGCACCACAGGAGGCAAACCCCCACCTTCACCCCCAGCCTGCTTAAGCAGGACACCAGGCTGGTGGGGAGGAGCAAGAGGGGCTGGAAGCAGCATGGAGAGGAACCAGCAGCTACAGTCAGAACCATTCAGGTTGGAAAAGACCTTTGAGACCATCCGGTCCAACCATAAATCTAACACAGAATCACAGAATTGTTGGAGTTGGAAGGGACCTCTAGAGATCATCTGGTCCAACTCCCCTGCCAAAGCAGGAACACCTAGAGCACATCACTCAGGACTGCATCC